TTGCGGAGAAACTAACTGATTACCATTAGTAAGCTTTCTCAATATGTTTTTGACGAAAGTTCCATATTACCCCTTAATATTCAAAGTATACTCACGGCCTCATTCAATCCTTTTAAGGTCGTTTTCCCTCTGTGGAGGAACTGTTTTTCGCAACGGTTTACGCCTCGGATTTTGTAAAGTTGGTTGGAGCTCGAACATTTTTATCGGTAAGTTTCCACTCCTGTATTTTGAGCATGACAATTTTTCCTCCTTTGCGAACGCGGTCCGGAGACCGCAAATAGGTAATCTCTCCAACTGTTAAAATCTCGAAGTAAACTGAAACTCAACGCGGACTCGAAAGATAAGTTGGCAAGCATATGTTTGCGTTCGGTAAATTTTATTCAGGCCTGCACATGTATATCCTAATTAAATTACTAAATTATGCGGGTTGGTAGAAAAGAGTAGTGCGGTTGTCAGGGTCGGAGGGGGAGGGGGCAGCAATCTGATCAGGGTCAGGGGAACTGGTCTGCGGGACAGGTAACAAGCTGCGGGCGGTTGAACTGGCGATCTTCTGTCATGGTAATTGTGTCACCTTTACGAAGTTCTCTTGGGCACACAAGACCGGTTTGCTTAACCTCATGGTAACTGCTTCTGCCCTAGCCAATAGACGCTGTCCAAAGAACTTTAAATAATTTGAGGACACATTTTAAATCACTCGGAAAGCCTGTCAGACATCTACGCCAAGGATGCATGTCAGAAACCCTGTATGCTAAAATGAAAGATACTCATGTTTCACTAACATTTAGAGCATATACATCCCAGTAGGTCGTTTTATCATCAGAAAAAATGTGCTCAGGAACCGCAAATGCTTTCGCGTATAGAGGAAACGGCAACCGTCCGAAATATGGCTGATTTTTCACTTAAGTCCAAGGCTATACGGGCCAGAATTAAGGTTAACGCTAAAATTAGGATAGGCTTAGAGTAATGACTGAGGTTGTGGTTAAGGTTAGGACACGGGCATTCCTGAACTTTAGCTTAAGCCCACATACATAAAGTGGGGGCGTTCAATTTCCGGTGTTCTATCGAGGGGACATGTGTACCATAGGTAACTAATTTTAGATATTATTTTTAACATTTGATATGTGTCTATTTTGTATTTACCTATTTATATCACTCAATTTTTTAGCACAAGACCAAGCAATTATGCTATTTTCGCAGTATCCATTTGAGATAGGAACTTTCTTAAACAGTGAAAATCCTACAGTTGTAAAAATATGATGGTTGCAAGATATTCAATGAAAGCAGACTTATTCTTAAGCTTTCTTATAAATGCAGAATTCCTGAATAGGACGTGGTAATGGGAACGCCCAGGAATACAGGTGAGCCTGCACTAAATTCCAGGAGGGGTACTTGTACTCCCATGTTCTATGACTACCCATAAAAGTTAACCTCACCCGAACCTACTACTAACCCTATCCCTGACCCTGACCCTAGCCCTAAACCTTAATTCCCTAGAGTTTAGCGCAAAGTAACCCGTATTACGGGGGTTCTTATTTCCAGGTCTATCCCCTTCCAACACTGATAGTGAAGTTTTCGCAATAGAATTGATTGCCCATATGACGACAGTCCGACCTTTGATTTCGATTATGTTCACTGTATGCTCCACAGCAGGGTGGGGCAGGCACGGTGACTTGTATTGGATTGTAGTGAGAGTAGACTTGTAGGAGTCTAAGCCGTGAGTGTGTTCAGAACACTGAAATTATCACGCCTGGTCCCGTATAGGAAGAGAGGGGTAAGACCAGTAGGATTTTTTATTGTATGCACAAACTCAGTGGTGGTCCAAAGCCCCGACACGCGGCGGGCCCGAGCCCTGCAAGCGTAGTGGGGACGTGAATGCGTAAACGTCATGCGATAGTGAGTCACTGGCCGCTTGATCAATTGTTTGGTCAGTAGCAGTCTACAGCACTTGTGATTGGCTGTCCCAGAAGCAGATAGAGAAACGCAGTCACGTGATAGTTTTCGGACTTGCTGTCGGTGCTACAGACCTGCGCTGCATCTACCTCTCTCTCCCTTTCTGCTCACTTCCCCACCTGGACCCGATGTAAAGACAGAGTCAAGAAAATCGGAGATGTGAGAGGGCGCAGGCCAACAAAATATTGGCCACCATAAACAAAAAAACAGCAGCGATGGGGGGGAGCAGCTTAGGTCAGAGCTGAGTAGGATTGTCCATAAAGACCATAGTTAGAAGGAGCCATTGCAACCTAACTTTCAGTCTACCAGACGCACACTGAACTGACTACGCGATCCGGGTTATCTCGTCAGTCGGCAACCTTCCAAGACAAAGCTCTTCACGTACCGTGACGGCTTCAAGCGCGTCCGATTATTTATGGTGAGGAAAGTGCGCTGAGGCGTCAATTTTACTGTCTGTCTCTCCCCCCCCCACCGCCCACTTCCAGCATCAGGCCTCCGTCCGAGACGGTCATTTGTCTGATGGGGCGTGGGCGCAGTGGCTGACAGGGCTAACGAACCCCGCTTGCACGCGCCACAACACGACCTAGTCACCTTTTTCACTGGAATTGTCACATTTTGAAACTAAAAAACTGACTGCTTTTAAATAATTTGATAGAAAAGATTCTTTGGGAAACAGGAACAAACTTGATTGTAAATTTTCGACGCTGCCACACTAGGTCGTCTTCAAACGTGAGGGAAATGTGTGAAGAGCAGTGCGCATTTTTAAACGTGCCAAAAAATCGATAATGATTCGTCATCCATGGTCAATAGCATGTTTTGTTGGTTGGATGACGAATCATTATCAATTTTTTGGCACGTTTAAAATGCGCACTGTTCTTCACAGATTTCCCTCACGTCCGAAGACGACCTGGTGTGCCAGCGTCGAAACTTTACAATAAAGTTTGTTCCTGTTTCCCAAAGAATCTTTTCTATCAAACTATATATCTTGGGATGCCTATTTTCAAATTCATACTTTCAAATAGTATTCAGCCGAATTTACTTTCTGAGGGTTAAACTTCTTAGAGCACCTTTGCTGAGTCTTTTGTGTTATTTAGTCAAATAAATACCCCTTGTAATAATTGAGGACATAAATTGATTGTGTAGCTGATGAGAGTCCGGAAAATAGTAATCTGGCGTACCTATTTCATCAGCTTCCAGATCTGGTTGAGGATGAAGTTCTTTATCCCAACGCGTTACCGAGGATAGTTCCATATCCAGACTGTCCCTCATTGGGCTTTATTGTCCTCTCTCCGGCCATGACCCTCGATCAAATAGCCAATGTAAACGCCGTCGAACTAAACGAGGGGGAAACTCAACTCAGCTTGGAGGACCAACAACTCTTACGCTTCTCTAATCTCCTTGATCGCCTCTTTACTCGACACGCAGACGAAAATCCGGAGAGCATGCTCGATCTGACCTGTGTTGCCGTCAAGTGGCTTCGAGCCGATCAGATGACTGATGAGCACTGGCTCCTAATGCGCCGAGTGCTTAAACAGCAGAAACTCCCGGCAGCGCCACCGACGAGTCCGAACATTCTATGCCAGAGTGTCGGTGTTCTCCTCGTACAGGGAGCTTTTGTTGAGCAGCGCATACAGAGGGCTGCAAAGAGCCTGAAAATAAACATTGCCCAAACTACCAATCTGTCAGAAGTTGTCATGTAAGTATGGCCATTTTTTATCACCTTCACTTGGAGAGCAGTTTGCTTGGGATACAATTTCAGCATACAGGGGCAAAGAATAAAATGTTGCGATGGAGCTAACCATCAGTTTATTCGTCTGAGCTTTTAGGTGTTTATATGGGTATTGTACGCAGGCGGCAGACCGATACGCCGATTAATCGAGCTCTGACTGCTGATACACGACTGGTCTTGTACTGTGCTCGATTTATTAATTTAGCGACGACGGAGTCAAGGCAATGGCCAGTAGTTTGTGGGAGCAAAACTTTCATCTGGTTTTGAAGACAGTGGCAAGACCAGGTAAGACCCGATGTACAATAGACGGCACCAGAGTGTTCACCCGCACTTAGCTAGTCTTTGGTTTTCATGTCGCATTTGTACTTGATTGCAAGATGGACAATCTTGATGTCTGTTCTCACAAAATTAGGATCACAGACCTCAACTCCTTGTTGTTGCTTTCTCATCTCGAGCGACGGACTGCTGTAAGGTATCTAAAATCTCAATAAATAAGGGGAGCATTTTTTTGTTAGGTTTGTGGAGGCTGGAATTCGGGTATTCGCCTCTCTACAATGCTACAAACTGAAAGGCCTGGTTAAATGGGAAGTAGAAGGGCTGTAGGTTGAGGCTTAGAGGCCTCTATCAGACAGTCATTTCTACATGGGCTACCGACTTTCTGACGGAAGGTACTAAAGGAATTTTTTTAAAAAGAGTATATTCTGTATTGAGGTAAAAAGGGGGCAAAATTATCAAATGCTTCCTTTAGTTGCAAAAAATCCCATTAGAGCATTCAGAGGAGTAGTTAGCGAGCGTACGCTGGCTTTCTCTTCGGGCCATTACATTCATATGGGAGCGGGGTACAAGTTAAACAAGTGGTTTATAATGTTTGCCTTTCCATACAAGCGAGTCGTGGGAATAGGGGGGAAGGGATCGCTAAGAGAAGAATGGTTATGCGGGGAGGGTCTGGTGGAGCCAGTCG